ACTGGTACATATTGTAGGGGAAACTCTAGCCAAACATTTCTCCAGAGCTCAGTTTTATTCTCCCACACCTCACTACCCTCAGTCCTTTATTCTCAAGCTGAGATGTCTGCTGAGAAAAGCCGCTCCGCGTCTCCCTGGTCTGCTGGGGAAGGGGGCGCTAGCTTTGCATCTCCCTGGTCTGCTGGGGGGAAGCAGCTAGTGCGGGGTTGCCTCACCCCATTTGTAAGTAGGGATCCGATGTAAGTCGGATCCATGTAACCCGGGGACTGCCTGTATCTGTATGTAAGAGGCAGCAGGAGAGGATGATAAAGGAGCCCACTCAGTAATCCCCATTTTAGTTGTAATTAGCAGTTATTGGTTTGAAAAATGCAGCTATCATAACTAATGTGCATGCTGGCTCTGGCATTGGCCCCGTCAGAAGACAGGTTACTGGGCTAGATGAAGCTTTGATCAGACCTAGTATAGCTGTTCTTATGTTCCATTCCCCCTAATGCCCATCCAAGGTCTCTCCTTAATAGTGCTACTAAATCCATCTAGATGTCCCTGGTTAGTTACCCAGTGAGCATGTGAGACAATGGCATTAGGTTTGAAACACCTAGATTCCCTTCACGATAATTTCAAATGCTTGGAGCTCTGACACAGTTAAAAATATAGATGATTTATTAAGTTCCATTAACTGAGGAAAGAGGGTTGTCACGCAGAGACCGTAAAAATTGAAATCCAATCTATTCCTCGTGGACATTAAAGCCATCCTGCCATTTTTGTAGCAGTAGTAGTTAGCTCTTGTGTCTTGGTTAACATATGTCCCCTTTCCACACTGTTCTAAAAATAGCATGTCACTTGCCCATCTGAATGATTCTCTCCACCCCAGAAGTGGCTGCATGTCAGTGCTAGGTGGAGTGATTCCTGCATGTGTATAGGTAGATGTCCTTTGGGATGAAAGGTTCTACGTAAATGTAAGATATTATAGTAAGAAGAAATGCCACTTTCTATAGAATTTAAAACTGTCAATAGCCTGGTGTTGGTCAGAAAGGTTTTTTAGCCTTGGAGGAGGAAGGTGTCACAATAGCAAGGGATTACATACACCTATTTCTGGGAGTTTTCAGAAGACAGATGGCTAGGAGAAAACTGAGATCCTTCTCCTGGGCATTTAGGAAAAGCACATAGAATCCTCTAACTCTGGAACACTGGACAAAAAGAATTTATAAAATGAAGATGTCTAGTTGGACACAGACCATTGCTAGCATTCACCAAGAGACAGTCCTATTTTCTGAGGATTACTTATACTAATATTTGCTGTTCCTTCAGCTCGCTAGAATCTTTCTTCCATGCTGCTGCTAGCAGTGATGCTACCATCTGAGCTGGGCACTTGGCCAGTGGTCACTGCTCCCGGGCCACCACCAGCAACACTGTAGAAGGATGGGAAGCAATACCATATCATTCTAACCTTCCTTCAGTGCTTTTGCTAGTGGTGGCACTGACTTCTGAGCTGGGTGACCTGCCAGCGGCCACTGCTCTGCTGCCACCCAGAACCAAAGACAGCGCCACAACCAGCAGCAGTGCAGAAGGAAGAGTTGCAATGCCATAAAATGGCACTCTTCCTTCTGTGCCACTGCCAGCAGCAGCACAGCCATCTGAACTGGGTGCCAAGACAATGGACACTGTCCTCCAGCCACTTGGCTTGGAAGGCCAGGAAAAATCATAGACATTTTTTAATATTTCCAAAATCTGCCCAGAGGGAAAAAAAGAGGACTCGGCTGGGAAAACCTAGATGGCCCTATACTAGCTTTGCAATCCCCTTTTGGGTTGGGTGTCCCAGATTGAGATGGGAATCACCAAGTGTAGCCTAATGATCCTGTGGTCCAACATGGCCAAAAGTTTCTGGCAAACCATTTCCCACAACTTCCACTGAATAGGTTATAGACAGGGCCTTACCAAATTCACTGTGCATTCTTGATACTTCCATGGCCAGAGGTTTTCCAACTTGGTCAATTTTACAATTTCAGATGATTACATATGAAATGTCATGGTGTTCTAACAATGCAGGTCCTGACCCAAAATAGGATCATGTGTGGTGGGGGGAGGGGAATTTGACTTAATTTAGCCCTGCTGCACTGGTGCAACTAGACTGACATTGGTGGAATTGCATCTGACCGAGGAACAGATGAATTTGTCCCCATAATTGCAAGTGACTGTTCATTAATTGATCTAATCTGGATACACATCAAATTCTAGTGAGGAATTTGCAAAGGGGGTCCCAAGAATTCCACCTTTACTTGTGTGCAGCCTTCAGGTCAGGGAGAGAGTAGGTTCCACCCTCATTTTTGCACTGCTTTTCAAGGTGGCTCCGATCTCCCTACCAAGAATGGCCTTGTAGGGTAAGGACAATCCTTTCCCTCCCCAGCCTGCCTCAGATTCCTAGCAGCATGCGGAGATCAGATTTCACAGTGCAGGGCAAATTTCATAATCCATGACACATTTTTCATGGCTGTGAAACTGATAAGGCCCTAATCAAATTCTCAGATACTTTTTCCCGCAGTGGTATGCACTTGATGTTATACACCATTGGAATGTCCTGGTGATGCTACAAACTCTAAGGGGAGGTCTTCAATTAATTGTATTTGCTGTTTCTTTTCTTTCCAGAATCATGGATTAAGGACACTGGCAGCCCAAGATCAGATTCTGTTGAAAAAGGCATGATGAGGAGGCCCCCTTGGTCTTTTCAAGTCTTCAGTAGGTCCATGTGGAATAGTCTCTGTCTCATTTCTCTTCCATGGACAGCAGATTTCATCATCAACTTCCCTTAGGGTATGTCTACACTACAGCACTAATTAGAACTAACTTAATTCGAATTAGTTAATTCGAAATACGCGATTTCGAATTAGTGCATCTAGACCTAAAAACTAATTCGAATTAGCGTTTTGCTAATTCGAAATAGCATGTCCACATTGAGTGGACCCTGAACCGAGGTTAAGGCTGGCTGGAACCAGTGCCGGCAGGGTATCAGATTAGGACTTAGAGCGTGGAGCTGCTGCCTCAGGCTAGCTGAGGGCTGTGCTTAAAGGGACCCAACCCCCACCCTGGACAGACAGTTCTCAGGGTTCCCCGCTTGCTTGTCTAACTCGATGCGGGACAGCAAAGCAGTCCTGTCTTGGAGTGCCCTGAGTGCTCACACTCGGCACATCACAGAACTTGTCCATCAGCCTGGATGCACTTGCCACAGGCTGCCATCTGGGGGGGTCAATCAGGGGACTGTCAGGATCCAGGAGGCTCTGCAGAAGAGCTTCCACCCTGAGGAGCCCGCAGAGCCACCCCAGTCCTCCCCATTGGGGGCTCGTGCCCCATTCCTCCCTCACCTCCTTCCATTTACCCTTCCCTAGCCCCCCTTCATGATGTAAAAAATAAAGGAGACGTGTGTTCAAAAATAGAAACTCTCTTTATTTAACAAAACGGGGGGGGGGGGGGGGGGGAAGCTCTGGGGGGGCAGGG